TGTGTGTGTGTGTGTGTGTGTGTGTGTGTGTGTGTGTGTGTGTGTGTTAGTGTTAGAGTTCTCTACATTTGGACTTCCCAGAAAAGGGCAGAGAGGGCATCAAGGGCAGCAGCTAGATTGTCACTGTTCTTCCCTTTGCCAATTTTGCCCCCTTCTCTTCTTTCTTCTGCCTTCATCTGAAGAGTAACACAAGCACTTAAACAAAGATTACTACATGTTATTCCATTCAATAAATAATTATTTGGCATAAGAGAGCATTGGCCTATGGGAAGATAATCCCTAACAGATAAAAAGTTTAGATAAGATACAGTCATGGGATGAAATTTAGGGGTTCCCCAGTTCCCTTAACTCCAAGCTGGTGTTTTTTGGTTGACTCTTTGAGCAAAACCACTCTCCATAACCCTCTTCTCTTTTTGTTCAGATTGAAACAGCAGGTAATACAGCCCCTTTTACCATTCCTGTGCCGTGGCTAAAATGTCAAGTCAGCTTGCTTTGGAAGCTTATGTTGCAGCAGTGTGAAACCCAGTATGAGCTACGAAAACTGTTACAGCTGTTTTCCAAAGTAGACCATCTTTCTGACGGTAATACCATTTCTGATAGCTGAGTTGTTCTTTTGCTTTTTCATCTTTGTGTCACTAACACATAACAGTGCTTTGCCCATGGTAGTTGCTTAATAAATGTTAATTGAGTTGAATTAAATTGGATTGTAAGAGAATTGAATGGTTTTCTTAAGCCATTTAAAAATCAGATCTTTTTGACTCCTCAATAAAAAAGATACCAGAAAATGCAGACATAAAGTAATTTTGTTTTGCTGTCCTTAATTTTAAGTTTTCTTTATATTGTGGCACTATATTTTTTTCAATTTTCATGTACATTCTTTTTGTGTATGTTATATATGTATCTGTAGATAATACTTATGTGAAAACTTCAAACCGAAAATGGAGAGAGAAAAAGAAAACTTCCTGTGTGACAGTATCAAGCTAGATACTTATTGTAGGGCAGCTATTCTAAGAGAAGAGAAACAATGGTAGAAACACTCAGTAATACACAGGAGACAAAATCCAGATGTCTCTCTCCAGGTGGTCAAAGTAGGGGTGATAAGCAAGGTGAACTAGAGATCCTAAGGCAAAAAGGTAAATTTGAGTTCCTCAGTAGCACTGGAACTTGCTGGGATGCAGTCATGACTAAAATGTGACTCTGGAAATGTGGGCTTTATTTTAAAGTAGCGATAAATAAAAGCAGGGGAGGGGTGGAGCAGAATAGTATTATTATATATTAAGAAGATCAGTTCCTATGTGGAAATCCAGGGGATTTCCTGGGGAAAGTCTGGTGGATGACGCTTGGGTGAGAATAGTGAAGGGAGAAATAGAAGCAAGATTATAATTGGAATATATTGCAAATCACTTGAACAGAAAGAAAAAATGGATGAGGAGTTTAAGAACTGGATCACAAGACTGGATTGCAGACATGATGGTAATGACAGGGTCTTCAGCTGTCTAAATTTCTGCTCAAGCTCACTTTCTCTGCCAGAAGCAGAGCACTTAAGAGTTTCTTGATTTACTTTTGTTGATTCCTTCAAAAGGTGCAGGAAGCAAGGAAGGAAACTGCTGTTCTGGGTATGAATCTGACCCAATATATGGAGCTAATTGCTGAAGTATAAACCTTGGAAACCTTGAAAGAAGGGACCCCATCCATCTTTGAATTTTTGGTAAAGGAAAAGAAAGGCATAGTGTGACATGCACTATAGCTCTTGAGAGAGCAGATCTTGAAAAGTTCAGAGAAAGGCAGAATCTCATGTCCTAAAATTTGACCAGTTCATGTCAGCTTAAGATGGAGGGGAAGTTCACAAGAAGACAAAAAGAAAGCATTTCAGTGAGAGACAAGGGGAAGGTGTGAGAAGAGCTTCATGTGATTGTCTAGGGAACTTCCTGACCAGCTTAGTTTTTAAAAGAAGATCGTTACAAGGGCACATAACTAAGGGTGAATACAGAAGCATGGTATCATCCTATAAGAAAAATGCTGAGAGAGCCATATGTCAAAGTGAGCTAAAGTGGGCAAGGAATTCTAAAGACAAGAAAGGTTGGTCTAGCTATGTGAAAAAAAGAGGAGCAAAGAAGAGGCCCACCCAGTGAGATACAGGGATGGTAACATGATGGAAAGTGAGAAGAAGCTCTCAGTTCTTATTTTGAATCTGTTTTCTCTGTCAAGGAGAATGACCTTTGGACCAGAAAGAACAGAACAAAAGTGGCTAACTGGAGTACAGAAACCCGAGATAAAAAACTAGTGTCTCCCTTCCCTTGCTGAATTCAAGTTAATGAAGTGAAATCTACAAATCAAAATCTAATAGACTTGAATTTGATTCCTGACAGAATTCTAGAATGTACTAGTAATTAAAGGCCTAGTTTGTGAACATGTAGAAAGGGAAATGGTGATCTCTAAAAGCTAGAGCAATTCATGCCAGACTAACCTCATTTCCTTTTTTGACAGGGTTACTAGGCTGGAGATCAAGGGAATACTGTAAATATATTTTACCTGAATTTCACCCAAGCATTTGAAAAATTCTGTCATGTTATTCTTGTGGATAAAATGGGAAGATGTGAGCTAGATGATAGAACAGTTAGGTGTATTCAGAAATGGGTGAATGACCAGACTCAGAGAGAAGTCATTAGTGTCTGATTGTCTGTCAACTTAGAAAGAGGTTTCCAATGGAGTGTCCCAAAGACCTGTGCTTTGGAACATCATAAAGAGTGCTGAGCCTGAATTCAAACATGGTCATTGTCACACTAGCTGTGTAACTCTAGGCAAACTACTTAACTTTTATCTGCCTCAGTTTTCTCAGTTGTAAAATGGAGTTAAGAATGGCACCCAGCTCACAGAGTTGTTCTGAGGATCAAATGAGATCATATTTTTAAAGCACTTGGCATAGTACTTGGCACATTGTAGTCTCTTATAAATTCTTGTTTCCTACCATATTCCCCAATCCCTTGCCATGTCCAGTTAATATTTTTATCAATGACTTGGATAAAAGCACATGTTGTATGCTTTTCCAGTTTACAAATGATGCAGTGTCGGGAGAGAAAGCCGATATGTCAAATGACAGTCAGAATCAATAAAGATCTGAAGAGCCTAGAGCAGTAAACTAAACAATACGTCTTAATCAATGTCTGCTAAAATGGAGTTTAATAAAGATAAATGAAAACTTCTCTGCTTGGATTCAAAACATCAACCTCACAATTTTAGGGTAAAGAAGATAGCTGTCAGTAAGATTCCAGTGTTTCATGGAGCACAAGCTGACTGGGTCAGTAGTGTAACATGGCAGCCAAAAATTTAATTCAGTCTCAGACTTCATTAATTCCAGAATGTTGGAGGTGATTATCCACCTAACTCTGCCCTGCTTAGACCTGGGCACCATGATAAGAGGGATAGTAATAAGCTGGAGAACAGCTGTAAAAGGGATCTCATTATGGCTGAGACAGCGCTGACAAGGAGGAGCAGTGGAGGGTCTGGAGTTATTAATTTTGGAAAGGGGAAGACTTAGGAGGGAGACGACAGTCAGCACCAAGTATTTGGACTTCTGCGGGCTCGATGTGTAGGTGCTTGCGTCAGGAGCAGCTGGCTGAACTTGGAGAGGCAGATCTGGGTTTAGTGCGTTGAGGAGAGCCCACAGCTATTAGTTCTTCCCTAGGAGTCTTCAAGCAACGGCCGGTTGAGTACTTGGGGGGATGTCAGAGAGGGATTCTTTTTCACGTAGGGGTCAGACCAGGTGACTTCTGTTCCTTCCATCTCGATGCTTCAGGGATTTTATATGACAGCAGCATAGAAAGCTGATGTCCCCTTTTTGGCACATTTTGCATGCATTTTGCTAGTATACTCTCTGTTCGCCCACATGGAGTCCAGCTGTGTGGTCCCTCCTGTAGCCATAACTGGAAGGAGTTCTAAGGGAGGATTTTCATCTCTGTCTCCTGTTTCAACTGTAGTTCTCTGAAATGGCATACCTCCAAAGATTTGTGGATTTCATGTCCTTACTTTTCCACCTCATGGTGTTGTGTGCAAAGCAGTTTATAAATCTTAAAGTGGTATATAACAATAATAATAGTAATAATAACAATAACATTTACAGAGCACTTAATTGTGTACCAGGCTCTGTGTTAATTAGGCTTTTTACTATTACTATCTTGTTTGATCCTCACATCAACCCTATTATTATCCCATTTTACAGATGACAAAACTGAGGCAGACATAGGTTAAGTGACTTGTCCAGGGTCACACAGTAAGTGTCTAAAGTTGGATTTGAACTCAGGTCTTCCTGACTATAGATCTAGTGCTCTGTACTCTGTACTACCTAGATAAATGTGAGCTATTATTTCTTTTTTTTTTAAATTAATTTATTTTGATTTACCAACAATCACTTCCATATGCTTTTGAGTTTAAAATGTTTCTCCCTCTTCCTTCCCAAGACAGCACACAATCTGATATATTGAGCTGTTATTTCTAATACATTTTTTGTCTCCTTAAGTAAGAAATAAAGGCTTTTGAAAAAGATAATAAAATATGTCTAGTTGTGACATTATTACCTTTTTCAGTTTGTTCATGGAACTTCCTAAATTGTGAGAGTTAAGGCCACCTTGGGTTGATTTACATGACTTCATCAAAAAGTATTCGTTAAGAATTTCTGGGGGCAGCTAGGTGGTATAGTGGATAGAGCACCAGCCTTAAAGTCAGGAGGACCTGAGTTCAAATCTGGCCTCGGACACACAACACTCAGTAGCTGTGTGACTCTGGGCAAGTCACTTAACCCCAGTTGCCTTGCCAAAAAAAAAAAAAAAAAAAAATTTCTGCAGGGAGGCAGCTAGATGGCGTAGTGAATAGGGCACCAGCCCTGGAATCTGAGTTCAATTTTAGGGTAAAGACCTGAGTTCAAATATGCCCTCAGACACTTACTAGCTGTGTGACCCTGGGCAAGTCACTTAACCCCAATTGCCTAAGGGGGGAGTGGAAAGAATTTCTACAGGAAGGACAAGATTCCCCCACAGATTAAAGACAGAAAACTTAGCTAGGTTATTGTTCAGTCATTTCAGTTGTGTCTGACTTTTTATGACCCCGTTTGGGGTTTTCTTGGCAAAAATACTGGAGTGGTTTACCATTTCCTTCTCCAGCTCAGCAAACAGAGTTAAATGACTTGCCCAGTGTCACACACCCAGTAAGTGTCTGAGGCTGGATTTGAACTCATAAAGAATATTCCTGATTCCAAGCCCAGTGCTCTATCCTCTGCTCCACCCAGCTGCCCCTTACTTGGGTTACTCAGGACAAGACAACAACTATAGTGGGTTGAAGTAACATGACATTCTGACTACAGCAAGCCAGTAGCTGGAGATATGGATGTCAGTTACAGCCTTAGCTATCTTGTTATAAGCAGGTGCTTCTATACCTGGTTACTTGTCATGGCTTCAAGTAATCTTGTAATGGAATTAACTATACAGTCAGTGGTGGCTGCTTGAATATATCAAGTCAGAGTGGAAGCAGTGCTGGAAAATGGTAAGGCCCCAGAGCCTGGTTGGTTTTCTGTTGTAAACTAGGGTATAGACTAAATGCATTATCTGTGTTAAAATTTAATGTTAGGTAGTTGAGTTCAGCCTGGCATTGCTGTGGCCATTTTGGACAGTTCTGATGTTTTGAAGTTCTGAGACTCTTGCTTTCTTTATTTTTTCTGCTTAGTCTCATTCCTGAGTGATTAACAATGTGGGCAGGTTCTATCTTCAAATCCCACATTGCTGTATTCAATATAATATTCTTAGCCCTTGATGCCAAATACTCCTCAGATGCCATAGTGGTATCCTTAATTCTCTTCTCTTTGTTTCTCTTTGTTACAGGTCCAGATGTGAAGAAGCTGTGTCTGCTCAGCCAGATTTTGAAGGACACATCCACAGCTATTAATCATTCTATCATCACCAATTACAGCACTGAGAACTTTGTGCAGGAATGCAAATCCATTGTGGAAAGGCTACAGACAAAAAGACAGTTTGCCCTGGCTAGGAAGGTAGCAGGATTAGCTGAATTACCTGTGGACAGCTTGGTTATTGAAGAGGTAAAGGGAAGTTGGTTAATTGTGTAAAATCTTGTATTTTTAGACCAATATTGAACAGGGCAGCACTTTTCTTTAGAGTAGAATTAAGTCTGTAAAACGGGATCATTCTGAACCCCATCCAAGAGGTGAACTGGAAACATAGCTAAGAACTTCCAAAAGCACCTTTAGAGGAATTAGCCCATGGGATGAATCTTAAGAGCATTGCCCCAGAAGGGTCCTGTGATTCTTGACTCAAATTCATCAAGAATTGCATTTCATGCTTAGCAGTTTATTATAATGAACTTAAGACTATAAAATAAAAATTTAGACATAAAGAAAAACTTTTTGGATTTTAGTTGAGAGAATTTTGAAACCAAAATGAATAATTGAAAAGCAATGTGGAACTTCTTCCTAATCATTCTTTTAAAATAGGTCAAATGAGGGGCAGCTAGGTGGTGCGGTGGGTAGAGTACTGGCCCGGAAGTCAGGAGGACCTGAGTTCAAATCCAACCTCAGACCAAACACTTGACACTTACTAGCTATGTGTCCCTGGGCAAGTCACTTAACCCCAATTGCCTTAAAAAAATAGGTCAAGTGCCCATTTTTCTGGGATGTCAGAGAATGAATGGATTAGATGACCTTTTCTGACAGGGTCCTTCTAATCTCTGTGATTCTGTTTTCCTTTACAGATAACTCAGGAGATGCAGACCCTAAAACATATTGGTCAGTGGTACCTGAAACAAACAAGAATTGAATTCTGGAAAAAATGTCATGAGAATTTTAAGAAGAACTCCATTTTAAAAAGAATAGCATCTGACTTTTTTTTAGCTCAGGCCACCGTGCCATCTGAGTCCTCAGCTGACGAGAAATGGTGCAACATTATGGAAAGGCGTTTGCTGCTTACCCTGGCAGGCCATTGGCTTGCCCAGGAGGACCCTGTACCTTTAGGAAAGCTGGAAGAGCTGGAGAAGCAGATCTGGCTTTGTTGTGTCACCAAGCAAATCCACTGTAGTGACCATGAGGTGGTTGAATCAAGGCTTTCTCGACAGATTTCAACCAGCGGTGACCTGTCCTTTGATAGCTTAACCGCTGAATTTTCCTTCTCCAAACTAGCTGCCCTGAATGCCTCAAAATACTTAGAGATTCATGGCTTTCCCCCTAGAGAAGCCTCTGAGAGTAGACTGGATAAAACTGAGGCAGAGTCACTAAACCTTCTGATTGGGCGTCTGTTAGATGATGGCTCTGTGCATGAAGCGAGCAGAGTTTGCCACTATTTTCAGTTCTATAATCAAGATGTTTTCTTGGTGTTACACTGTAGAGCGTTGGCCTCAGGAGAAGCTAGTGTAGATGATTTGCACCCAGAAATCCAAGCTATGCTTCGGAATGCTGAGCCGCCGGGAGAGGAGGAGGAGGAGAAGGAAGAGGAAGAAGCTGGAGCTCCAGTTAGGAGCTTTCAGAGCAGTATGTAACTCGACCCAGGGCTCCTGAGCTCCGGTATCAGGTGCTGGAGGCGCCCAGACCCATGTTTCAACCCCCTCCCCACCACCAGGGAGATGTGAGGGAGGGAAAGAGAGAGGGGGAGTTTCTGATCTCCCTGTCGTGTGGGGTAAATGTGTTCTTATGGGGTAGATGTGTTCTGGGAATTCCAAGATGGAGCCTGAATGCATTTTCCCCATATAGTACATCATGATTATTATGGATGAATACTATTTTCATGGGGAAATGTTTTTTGAATTCTGAACTGACTTAAAAACGAGCTTATAAAAACATGACCATTTCATACTTTGAGTTTCCTCTAGATTTCTGGGATCAGTCTTTATTCCAATTGGTTAGCCGTTCTCCTGTTGTTATTTAGTATGAGAAGGGTATCAGTATTGCCTTGTGACTAGCTCATATCAAAATGAGAATTGCCCTCTTTCCAATGGATTTATCGTCTGACTAGAAAACATGATAGTCCTAAGTAGAATATCTCGGGTCAGACTTCTTAGGGAGAGGATTTGAAAGACGTGTGGAAGGGAACTTGTTTGAAGTGACTCTAATTTCTAACTGGGTGTCTTGTGGAAGTATATGAAGGAAAAATGGGAGATGGTAACAGAAAGGCCAGAACTCTAAGGTCACCAGGGACGACCTGTTTGCTTCCCTCATGCCTATAAATTGCTTCTAGCCTCAAGTCTGGATACTCAGTCCTTCGTTATGGTGATCCATGGTGATGATATTGCAGCCCATCTGGAGACTTTGACAAGCAGATGCTTTCATGGGAAGAGCTACTGCCGGCAAGTCCTCTGTCTGTACGAGCTTGCCAAGGTATGTTCACATAGTGCTCCTTAGGCCTGGGGAATGGGGCACGGAGTGAAGGGAGACAAGTGGAAGTGGGGGCAGCTGCCTATCCCTGGGTAACTCTAGATCACCGACAGCAGAGCTGAAATGAAACCCTTAGACTTTTGTCAAGGTGTGAATGTTGTTTTCACATGGTTTCACATGGAAACTCCCTGTATAGAAATCACCTGGGAGTTTAACCATTAAAACTCATGTAAGAGGCCTCAAGGCCTTGTGGATAGAGAACTGGCATCAAGGTCAAAATCCCTTGGGGTCAAGTTCTCCCTCTAACACATGACACTGACCACACCACCCTGGGCAACTGCTTAACCTCCCAGGGCTCCTGGAAATCCATCAAGACTCTAAATTAAGGATGGTGCTGATTTTCATTAGTAAAGAGAGTTTCTGCAGTTGTTCTAAGGGTGTGTGTGTGTGTGTGTGTGTTCTACTATCCTGGTTGTCACAATTTGTGAAAGGACCTAAGTAAGGGAAGAGAAAATGGGACAAGGAAAGTAAGATAGAAAAACAGGAAGGATTGACAGGGAGAGAAAGAGAAGAGAATAGAGGAGAGTGCTTGGGAAAAGCGTAGCTGGCCTGGGAAGAGTTTCCAATTTTAAAAACTTAGTTATCCAAAAGAAATTATAAGCAGCCTGTGACACCTGCCCCTTTCTGAATGAAAGCATTTTTTTCTGGTCTGTGTTCACTTGGCTTGGGTTTGGGTCCATTAGTGAAATAGTAGAGGGGAGAAGCAGTAATTAATCCTTTTCACTCAGTCTCCCGAATGTTCCTGCTTATTCCAGTGGCCTGGGCTTGGCAACCCTTGGTTGGCTTTAATGGAGAACGGTTTTGGTTGGTGTTTCCCTGGCATCGATGTCTCATCCTCAGGTTTCACTGTGCTCTCCTCACCCCTTAGGAGCTGGGCTGCACTTACCGGGAGATCTCCGCTCAGGACAGTACTGCTGTACTCCGAGCCATCCTGTCCTCCCAGCAGCCAGACCGCTGTAAGCGAGCCCAGGCTTTCATCACTACCCAAGGTCTGAAGGCAGACCAGGTGGCCGACCTTGTGGCTGAAGAGGTGACGCAGGAGCTGTTGGCTGCCTCAGCAGGGAAAGGTGATGGACGTGTCTTGTTGCGTCTAGTGAGGTGATGACATCAGGGGTGCACACTCATGTGTGGGATATAAGCTGTTTTTGAAACTCATGTCTTGTGATTATTCCTCAAAAGTTATTCTCTGGAATCTCATTAAAGGATGGTAGTGACTCTGGGCTCTTAAAGTCTGGGCCAGCAGGACATCAGCTTTAGCAGATCCTAACAAGCAGGTGATTTTTGAGCGTACACCCCGCAACTGCCTATTGTGAAGACCAGCCCAGCCAAGTTTAGGGAGGCTGCTCACCAGACCAGCCACCAGCTGATAAATTTAGGGGTCACAGCCTCTTATGAAATGTTTTAATAAGGTGTGAAGGAGTTGTGATCTGCATTGGTGGAGTTCCCGCACTGAGGAAGTCAGAGACGTTTTGAAATATTTAAACTCTCAGTTGAAAAATTCATGCTGCCTTTCCAGAAAGAAGACTACCCTAGCTGAATTTTCGTATTTGACATTGAGAATGATGCTGAGACTGAATATTCTTGGTAACTCCTAGTACTGACTCTTGGTATCAAATGCTTTCTCCCCATGCAAAAAGGTCCTATCAAAGGTCATCTCTTCCTCCCCACCCACCCACCCATAGAGAAGTGTCATCCTGTTAGCCATACTTAGCTGGGGCTTTCTGAATTTTCCTCTCATATTTACAACAATAACTGTCTTTTCCTCTATCTGAACAGGACGGAAGCAAGCATCCAGTCCAGCAGAGGAAGGCCTAATGTTCTTCCAGCTGACTGCTTTGTGCCAGGATCGAACATTGGTTGGCATGAAGCTGCTAGACAAGATTTCCTCAGTTCCCCCTGGGGAACTGTCCTGTAGTAAGTAGTGTTGCGTAGTTCTTGTGGGCTTGGATGCATGTGGCCTCATGTTTGTTTGCCTCTAAGGGGTCTGTCTGGAGACATTCCATCATCAGGACCAGAACCTTTCTGGTCTTTCATGACTTACTATACAGAGTAAGTGGAGGAGCTGCATCCCAGGAAGTTCTGGACACCAAGGCCCATTTCTGTTGCCTGGCTCCTGTGTTTCTGCCCTCTTGTTTCTGATTGTAGCCCTTGGGGCCTGGGTAGAAAGATAATTGTGCTAGCAAATAGTCACATTTGGCTAGGCCCTAGGTATGGGGACAGAGACTGTTGGGAGTAATTAATCTTCCCTCCTTGCACTCTGTTTCCAGAGGTTGGGTTTAGAGCTGTAAAAGACAGTGTGAGCGCTGACTCAGGTCACCTGGGTTTTTAATGTTGGCTCTCCTTTACCTGTGTGACCTTGAGCAAGTTATTTTACTTTTTAGATCGCAGTTTCCTCCTCAGTAAAATGAGAGGGTAGATCAGAGTTCTAAGATCTCTTCCAGCTCTAAATCTTGTGAATCTATACAAAGAGATAGACTTTCTAAGTTCCCATCTGGTGAATAGGTTCTACCCAACATTTAAGACCCTTTGTGGAACCATTCTGGCCAAGAGGGTACGCAAGCGGTCTTTTAGAAGAATTAATTCCCCTTCTTAAGTCACTCAGATGTGAACTTTAGGCATTTAATGATAGACCTGACCCCATCTGACTGTCCCATTTGTAGAGCCAGTGACATCAGGAAGTTCATTGAGGTACCTGAGAGATCACTAGAGTAAAATCCCTGTGTCCAGCACCCTTATCCTTTCATTTCCATATTAGTCATGTTGTGAAAGAAAACACAAAAAAGGGAGGGAAAGTAAAAAATCGTATGCTTTGATCTGCATTCAGACTCTATCAGGTCTTTTTCTGGAGGTGGATAGCATTTTTTCATCAGAAGTCTCTCAGATCATTGTATTGCTGCGAAGAGCTAAACACCCTTACCCTTTTCACTGAAATATGGCCAAGGACACATGAGCATCGAATCCCGATTGTCTCAGCAGCCTCTCCTCCCTTCTGTCCACAGCCACGGAGTTACTGATCCTGGCCCATCAGTGTTTCACTCTGACGTGTCACATGGAAGGCATTATCAGGGTCTTGCAGGCGGCTCGGCTGCTCACTGATAACCATTTAGCCCCCAACGATGAGTACGGGCTGGTGGTAAGTAACTCTCTCACAGCCATACTTGACATAGCCCCAGGAGAACAGAAGTTCCATGGAGTAAGGACTCTGTTCTATATAACTTTGTTTCCCTAAGTACGCAGCAGAGTATCTTCCATATAGCAGGTGCTTATTAATAAATTGTTTTTGCACAGAGTGTTTGAACTTAATGTCCGGATAGTCAGACATGACACAGGAAAAGGAAACGAGCCTCTAGTGAGAGCCAAACATGTTTAGGGAAGCTTTGGGGTCATCTTAATTCAGCTGATGGGACTCTAGGGGCTATTTTAATAGAACATAAGAAGACGGAACATATGTAACGTGAGCTTTGCTCTCTTTAAGGCATGTTTCTATAGGGGTTCAGGGTAGGTTGCTCTGAAGAAAAGAAAGAAGGAATCTCTCTGAACCCTCAGCACTCCAGTTGCCCATTTTGGGGACTACCTCTCCATTAGCTGGATTGCTCCACCCCCTTTAAAGTGCATTTTCATGCCATCTGAAAATAGTGATAGTTTTGTCTCTTCTGCTGATGTTAATACTTTTGATTTTGTTCTTTTTTTGGTTGCTATAGCTAGGATTTCTATTTTTTTTATTATTTGGCTAGGCAGTGGGGTTAAGTGACTTGCCCAGGGTCACACAGCTAGTAAGTGTCTGAGGCCAGATTTGAACTCAGGTCCTCCTGACTCCAGCCAATGCTGTATCCACTGTACCACCTAACTGCCCCTACAGCTAGCATTTCTTTACCTTTGTCAAATGGGGGTGATGGGGGGTGAAGGTAGGGAAGGACGACTTTATTTTGCCCTAGTTTGTAATGGTTAAGATTCTTTTTCCCCACAAGAAACAATGCTAGTTCTTGATTTTGATTAAAGACTATTCCATGCCTGTTTTTTTAATGTGAGTGGTAAATTTTGTTAAATTCTTTTTTCTGCATCTGTTGAAAGAATTGTGAGGTTTTTTTTAAACTTTTATTTTGTGATTAAGTATGCAAATTGTTTTATTAATGTTGATCCATCCTTGCATCCCTGGTATCAAAACAAAATTTGATCATGATGAATTATTTTGGTAGTATATTTCTGTAGTCTCTTTCCATTGGTTTTATTTGTAATTTTGCATTAGGATTAGTGAGTGAGATTGCTTTATAATTCTCTTTTTCTACTTTGTCTGTTTCTTCTGGAGAGTATTAGGACTATATGTCTTATAAAAGAACTTTCGTAGAGTGCTTTCTATTTTTAGAATAATTTTTGTAGCATAGATACTAATTTTTGTAAGTAAACATCAGTTTCCTTTCAATTCTCTATTTGAATCCTCTATATGCTTATGTGTACTAGTTTCTGATAATTCTTTTTATTTATTCAGAATTCACCTTATTCATTTTTTATTTTGGTAATTTGATTTTCCTCTCTTGATCAGTTTGTATAATGATTTTTTTTATTAATTTATTTTGTTTTTTATCAGCAATCACTTCCATAAGCTTTTGAGTTTTAAATTTTTCTCCCTCTCCCTTCCCCCCCCAAGACGGCTCGCAATCTGATATAGGCTATATATATACATTCCTGTTAAACATATTTTCACATTAGTGATGTTGTAAGGAAGAATTACAACCAATAGGAGGAACCACCAGAAAGAGGAAACAAAACACAACAGAAGAAAAAAAATAGCAAATAGTATCAATCAGTTGGGATAATAATGATGAATCTTCTTTTGTTAGTCTCTTCAAAAAAGCAGCTCTTAGTTTCGCCTGTCAGTTTTATGATCCTTTTTAAGTTCCTCTCTTCCTCTAGTTTTCAAGATTTCTTTTTTTGTTTTGATTTTAGGGTTGATTTAATTTATAGCTGATTTAATTTATAGTCTTTTCAGTTCATTCTTCCTCTGATGAATCACATCATCTACCTGCTGTCCACGAAGAGTGGGTGTCCCTAAAGGCTCTGTCCTGTCCCTGTTGACTTTCTTCTTTCTGTTATGGTGATTTCACCAGTCCCTGTGGGTTCAACTATTATCCCTATGCAGATGATTCCAGATTTATATATTTAGCCCTAATCTCTCTCCCTTGAATTCTAGTCATTCTGATATTTTAAACTTAGCATGCCCAAAACAGAATAGATAATGTTTTTTCCCTAAACTTTCCCCTTCTCTAAACTTCCTTGTTGCAGTAGAGGGCATCCCCATCCTCCTGGTAACCCAGGTTTGTAACCTTGGTATCATCCCTCATTCTCATCTCTCCTCCCACCCAGTCAGTTGCCACATCTTGTCAACTCTCCCTCCACAATGTATGTGACATCTGTCCCTTTCACTTCATTCACACAACTAGTTCAGACCCTCATCACCTCTTGTTTACACTATTGTAATGGCTTCCTTATTAGTCTCAGCAGTTTATCTTCTCTCCAATCCATCTTCCTCACGGCTACCAGAAAATGTTTCCTAAGGCACAGTTGTGATCATACCACTCTCTTCCTCAAAAACTTCCATTAGCTTATTATTAAATTATTTAATAACAACTTATTAATTATTAACTTATTATTACTTTTAGAGTAAAATCCCAACTCCTCAGCCAGACACCTTAGGCCCTCCAGTCTGGCTCCCACCTACTCTTCCAGCCTTTTTCCATATTCTTCTCCTTCATATCCTTTCATATTCCTCTGTTCCTGTGAAACGGGACTACAGTAGTGACAGTCTTTGTCACCCTGTGCCATCCCACAGATCTCGACCTCCCTTCCTCATCTTCCAGGCTCAGCTCAGGTGCCACTGTCTCCATGAAGCACTTCCCTGATACACTCAGTTGATTCAGTCTCCATCCTCATAGGACCTTGTATTTCTTTACTTACCGCAGTGAATTGTGCATGCTTCTCCCCTCCCCTCCCCCTAGTAGAATGCAAGGTCTTTGAAGAAAGGACCGTTTGGGGTGGTTGTCTCTGTCCTCCCAGCACCTTGACCAGAGTGGGTGTTTCATAAGTGGTGAACCGAATTGGTGTGTTGGCAAGTCTCTCCAATGCAAGGCCTACAGAACAAGCAGTTCTGATGCAGTTTGCCCCCTTTCTCAGGTACGCCTTCTGACGGGCATTGGAAGATACAATGAGATGACCTACATATTTGATTTGCTGCACAGAAAACACTACTTTGAAGTGTTGATGAGGAAAAAGTTGGACCCGGTAGGTGCAGGGTGACTATAAATGACGTGTTTAACACATTCAATTGATACCAGAATTCTGGGGAAGAGGGTGGTTTCCAAGACCACAAGTAAAAACAGACTCTTCATTGAGTAAAAGGAGGCAAAGGATAATCTAGGTTATGGCCTGTGTGTGGCAGGCGTGGGAGCAGCTGGCAAGTACGCCTAAAGATATTGTGAGGAGTGGGACTGGACCTAAGATTTCCTTAGTAGAGGGAACTCTCTGGATGAGGAAACTCCCTCCATTGCAGGCTCACCCTTTCTCTGCAGTTGACAGAATGGAGAGTTACTAGGCAGAGCCCTGAGAGCTTAAATAACCACTAGCCCCAGGGCCACGTAGTCATGTGTAGCAGAGGCAGGGGATCCAGGTCTTCATGGTTCTGAGGCTGGCTCTCTGTCCACTATACCACACTGAAAATAAGTGTGTCATCATCCAGAGCTCTCCATCTGCTTCTTTTGGTGGGATTCCCAACTTGGCTGAATGGTGTGAGCAGTGCTCTTATCTCCCCAAGTGGCACCACACTTCATTAGATTAGAATCCACTTGTATATCTGGTTCTTGGGAGTCCAGTGGTTTATCCGTGACCCTGAGAGCACTGCTAGAATAATGGGTTTATCTGACCTTCTCCTTTGGAAAGGTTTCCTGCTGAGGGCATCCTGTTCCTTCTGAGATCCCTAGGCTGCCCCCTTCTGGTGCCACTGCTGGTGGTTCAAAGGGGTGTGGGGTGAGACTGGGGCTCCTGCTAGAGAGGAGCACTCCTCCTCAGTGCTGGACCTCGCATTAACCAAGCACTAGGACAAGAGGGCAGAATTCTATGATCAGCTGCATGCCTTCTTCCCCTGGGCTGAAGATGCTTGCCTGAAGTAGATAGCATCTGGCCCTTGAGATAAGGGCGGCTTTTCTTTGCTAGGGGCTGGGGCTTTGCTCTGTGTGGCAGACAAAGCAATGGAGATTACTTCTAACAAAGAAATTTCTACACATGATTTGGGTCTATGAAACAGCCATGTGGCCAAGAGCTGAATATGACTTGGTGTCAGCTCAGCTGCATAGCCATTTACAAAAATAGTAGGTAAAAGGGCTCAGAAACAACCATGAGGATTGACTTGGGCTAGTAGAGGTTGGTGACCTGTATCACTTTTTTCTCTGACCCTCTGCGTATAGGTGCCATCTGACTATAATTCAGCTCAGGTTCAGCTCAAAGGGGTGAGTTCAGCAAGAGAGGTATAATTCCATTTCTGTGAGTTATGGGCAGGAGTTTGAGTCCAAGAAGAAAGCCCTATCTTTCATTATTCCCCAAGTGGTTCAAAAGCAAGCTGGCCCAGCTCTTGCCCCACATCAGCTTCTATGTGGAATATTCCTATAGTGCTTTTTCGTATTTCAGAGGAGGCTGATTAGCACTGGTTTAGAGGAACAAGGTGGGGCAGTGGCCTTGTGGGAGAGCAGTTGCTGACGCCAACGGGAAAGTCCTCAGTAGCATCTCACCACAACGAGCTTGAGATTCCCCTGAAAGCATTTTGATTGAGGAACTCTAAAAGTGAAACAGCTCCATGCCGTTCTCCTTATGCTGCTTGGTCCCTGAATTTCCCCTTTCTTTCCACTGGCAGAGTGGGACACTAAAGACTGCCCTGCTGGATTACATCAAGCGCTGCCGCCCAGGAGACAGTGAGAAGCACAACATGATTGCTCTCTGCTTCAGCATGTGCCGGGAGATTGGGGAGAACCACGAGGCAGCTGCCCGCATCCAGCTGAAGCTGATAGAATCTCAGCCCTGGGGTGAGTAGAGAGCCAAGGGCAGCCCCCACACAGCAGGGCGGTCTGGAAGCTCTGACCAAGGCACAGGCTGTGTTATACATCCTTGAATAAACAAAGGGGATCCTAAACTGGACTGCATCTGAAATGGGAGTGGGGCTTGGAAATCCCTTAAATTTCTCCAGTGAAGCGCAATAAGATGGACACTTTCCATCTACAGAGACTTTGACTGAAGTGTTCTATAATATAAGAACCATCCTCGGTGCACCAGCAAGGGAGGAAGAAAACTCTTAACTTACTGATTGGGAAGCTGAGTCATAACCACAGAATGAAGTTTGGGATTCTCAGCCTTTCCGTGTTTATGGCCAAAGAGCCTTTCTTGAAGCATCCAAGACATCCTCTTTCAGTCAATCCAATGGATGAGGGGTGGGGCACAAGTATACTCAAGGATATGTGGGGTGCCCTTCCAATCTTTTCTAATGCTGCCCAGAGGAGGTGGATTAGTTCAGCATTGAGTACAATAGAAATGAGCCCATAGAGGAATAGTTTGTGGGCAAGTTCAGATGAGTTCAAGTGTACAGGTTTCAGGAAAACACTGGGAGCAAAGGCAAATGGTAATTCACCCTTTTCTTTGTACAGAGGAATGTATCAAGGATGGGCCCCAGCTGAAACAGCTGCTGCTAAAAGCCCTGACTCTGATGTTGGATGCAGCAGAGAGTTATGCTAAGGTAACCATGCATGGCCTGTCCCAGGCAAGTCCAGCCAAACAACTGGGTGAAGCCCAGGATGGCCAGGAACCAAAGCCAAGGAAAGAAAGGATTGTCCATTGATGGCAGCAGAAAAGGGCAGGGAAGATATGACCTCTTTAGAATACTGTCTTTTCAAGCCAACTGTCCTCCATAAAAAAATATTCATTACCTTAATATCTTTCTCTCCCCACCCCCCCACCCGAACTCTAGGATTCCTGTGTTCGTCAGGCGCTGCACTGTCACCAGCTTACAAAGCTGATAACGCTACAGATTCATTTTCTAAATACTGGCCAGAACACGATGCTCATCAATCTTAACAGGCAGAATCTGAAAGACTGCATCATGGCCTTGCCTCGGTTCTATCAGGTAAAAGGGGGAGAAGGCTGGAGGGAAAGGTGGGGAGGATTTGGGAGGGAGAAGCCCCTGAGACCTTAAGCACCTTCACTGTCATACTTGTTGCTGCTTAGTATCCAGAGGCCATGGCCAAGATGGTTGTTTTGGCAGGGCTGAAACCTGTAATGAGTAGGACAGACAACTTGTTTGCTCTGAGCAAAACACAAGTTCAGGGCAGCTAGGTGGCACAATGGATAAAGCTCTGGCCTTGGAGTCAGGAGGACCCGAGTTCAAATTTGGCCCCAGACACTTGACACTTACTAGATGTGTGACCTTAGGCAAGTCACTTAACCCTGATTGCCTCATTAAAAAACAAAAAAACACAAGTTCAAATGAGGTTGCTAGATGTTGGTTAGGCAAGAACTCTTAAGGCTAGTCCTAGGTCTTAGTTTTAGACAGCTTCTATCTAGCACCACAAGCAGTATTGGTAGAACTTTATCACTCCAAAGACTTATGCACCTTGGTTTCTCTTCCTCTTGCTCAATACTTCCTTTCCCCCTGTAACTTCGCTTGCCTCTCTATCCAACATGCACACACCACCCACCCCTCTCCCCACATATCACTTAGCCTTTGGGGACACAGAAGTTTGCTGGTGTCTGTGCTAAAATAAGGTGGACAATTCCAGTCATCATTGGCCTTCTTCTGCAGTTATGAACCTGAAAGATGGAACATGTTCAGAGCTGGTTCTGGTCTAGAAGGGAATAGGGAAAATCCAGGCCTGACATTGGACCTTAGAACCACCCATCTCTTACAGATCTCTCTCTAGGTGCACTAGGGATGTTCCAATTACTCAACATTTTATCCCCAGAACTTCATTCATCCCACTCTCATGTAGAGAAGTTAACTTTTCACATGAGAATATTTCCATTGTGAGGATAGTTTGAGAGTATTTGCAGAGGTTAAACTGGGGGATTCATGCCCTGTGAAATGACATGAGCTGTCTGCTCTCAAGACTCTAGAACTAGTTTCCCTTAGGATCTGTCCTTCTATCTCTAAGTCTGTGATCTTGCACTTTGTAGTTTAAAAATTTCATTCAGAATTTATTCTGGGTGGTAATCATAACTTATCCAGGAACCAGAAAGCATGGATTATACAGATCTTTGTTCCTTTCTTTCCTGGTATTGATGTCTGTACTTGCCTGCAAAGGAGATGATGAGATGAATTTTGTTTCTTGGCAGTTGGAGTAATAACTGAATAGGGAAGACAGAAAAGCCTATTAGAATCAAGTGAAGCTGTGAATTCTCTTGATTAAAACTTTCCCTTTGGGGACCAGAACTATATAACCTTAAGAAACTAGGAGGAATATTAGAAATCTAGTCTAACCTTCTTGTTCTGCATATGAAGAAAATGAATTGACATATAATTGAGACTTTTACCTTAAATTAAAGCACTTTTGCTAAATGGAAAAGCAGAAGAGGGAAATCCAGTTACAGCTTATAAAAGTTTTAAAAATAATCAAAGCTATTTGGCATTAATTTATATTGAATAAAAACCTCAAACTGATTAAATATCTTTAGTTCTAAACTTTCTGATCATTTCCTTTTTTTTTTTTTCTTTTAAAGGCCTCTATTGTAGCTGAAGCCTATGACTTTGTCCCAGATTGGGCTGAAATTCTTTATCATCAAGTGATTCTAAAAGGTGACTTCAATTACCTGGAAGAATTTAAGCATCAAAGGTTATTAAAAACCAGTATATTTGAAGAGATTTCCAAGAAGTAAGTATTATAAAGCAGGCTGCCTTGTCATTCTCAAAATAAGTAAACAGATTACTTTAAAATTACTCCTTTTGGTGACCTTCCCTTCAGGCAAAGGACAAAAAAGAAATTTGCTAAAAGAGCTCTGACCTAAACTGCCTCAGATCCATAGCAGGTATTACAAGTTGTGACTCCATACAAATGACTTAATAGCATTTTGTACTTAAAAAGAAGCAGCTTGTTAATTAATATTGTAGATTTTACCAAATAAATTTTAAAAATCTTAATGAAAATAAACTTTCTAATTGAGATACATTTTAAATATTGATGGCATTGTCACTAATTTTTGAATGACATCCAAGAGTGACTTCCCTGGTAGCTAATACAGCTGGCTTTTTTGTTCAGCTCTCATTTGTGAATTTGGAAAAACACTATACACATATACACACACATGTGTATACATACGTATGTATATACACACTCATGTTAATGTTTCTCTTAGATTTAAACAGCACCAGCCAACTGAGACAGTCAAAAAGAACATGAAAAATTTACTCTCATACTGTGAAGATGTCTACCTGCATTATAAGCTGGCATATGAGCACAAGTTTTATGATGTCATAAATAAGCTTCTCAAGGAGCCTCAGACTGGATGTTGTCTGAATGACATGTTGGCAAATTAGACCAAGGCCAAGAAGAAATGACTTGTCTGCCAGCATGTCTTGAAGTGGACCACATCCTGTAGTGTACTTACCTGGAACTGCCCTGGTATGTTAACACAGAACAGTTTCTGTCATCCATTACATATCACCCACAAGAAAGACTCTTCATTATTATAAGTTTTTATTTAAAGGTATATTATTCAGGTTGGGTAGGTATGCATCTTTCTGTCAGCATCTAGAAGAAACTATTTCTAAGAGCCAAAGAATGTTTTATAAAGTGAAAGTGGATCTAACGCCCTTCTAAGACCCACAGACCATGTCAAAGAGAAGGTGCAATACTGATTAAGAATCTGTGTCTTCTATACCTGTGAATAAATTTTATATAGCTGAAAACCATTTGTACCTTGTGTTGGAAATTATGGTTTCCCCACAAGACTGGAATGCCTTCTCGTTTATTATATACTCTCACCCAGTGTCTTAGAGAAGCTTGGGCAATGGTTTCCTTCGTTATTGCATGTAATTGAGAGAAAGTGATTCCATTCTGCCATAGGTAAGTCCTGCCTCAGCTAGTTTTAAGGAGTTCATAACCAAGATATTTTTAATAACTATTTATTTCAAGTTTCCTTTGCAGATATTTAAAAACGTTCTGAGAAAACCATAGGTTTAACCAGACTGCCAAAGGGTTCCATGACAAAAACAGTTATGAACCCTTGCCTATAGAGGCTGGACTGTTGCGGTCTCTTCCTAGCACATTTTGAAACAGACCACGTATGAAATGTCCCTGTGACATTAAAAAACCTAGAAAAGGCAAAACTTTTGTGTTCTACCTCTCTTTTACATAGACCTAAGAATCTATTACAGCTAAACTCAATTCAATACCACTTTGCTTCAGTGGCTAGAGAAAAAAATGTGAAAATTATTCTTCTATCATCAGTGTTCATAGGCATTATACACATATATATCATCCCTGTAAAGCTGCCGAGAGCTTAAAATTTAAGGGCTCAGTGAAAAAATGCTTCTTAAAAATAATAGAGATTAGTATTTAAGCATTTAAATTCTCCAACATATCAGAGTAGGAATAAGTACCCCTTGCAAGTTTCAATATCACATTAATGGCTTGACTCCTTAACAACTTGAGTCCTTCTTATAAAGCAGCAACAAACAAACCTTTGTTGGGCTTCTGTAACTAAAGAAGGGAAATCTGTTCCATCCTCACCACTTGATATACTTTCTTCAAAGGTAAACTTAGGTTGAAAAATCAAGTCAGCATCAGGACAGTTAATGTTTCCTGGGAGCTCACACACAAAATGAAGTCCTCACAATAGTGATTTTATTAAATTAGTTGCTTTATAAAACATTGCAGATGTCATAATTGTTAACATAACAATTTACCAAACTGTAGTAACTGTTGCAGTTTGCTAAGCATGTTTGTAAAGGAAAGGAAATGCCAAAACCCTGTGAAAGTTGTTGTTTCAGCCTAGGAGAACAAAGAAAGTTTTGTATCTCAGACATTTTCAGTCAGGCAAATAAAACAGGTCAAGAATTTCCCCCCTCTTAAGAGCTGCATCAGTAGAAATATTCCGGTAAATATAAACTAGACTGTTTATACACTCGAAATACCACAAGTTGGATTTTGTCAAATGCAATAATGGAGACATTACCTCTGCGGCTTCAGGGTTGGTGGTTTTTGGTCATTTAATTATGTCGAACTAGTAGCCATTTGAGGCACGGTATCCTTACTCTGAAATAAGCAGTCTTCTTTGCAATGTATTTTTAAAATCCTCACGCTCTACCTTAAGACAAAGCAATTTTAATACTAGGTGCACACCCACATGCCCTTGTTGCAAACTGCTTTTGTTGACAAGATATGTAGTTCAAGGAGGTATGGTTAAGGCTGTATTATTGAATGGTGCTGGTAAATACTACACTTTTTTTTGTCACATTGCAACTATTGTTTCCAATTTAGTGACTCTGCTGCCCTGGAACCAGATAGCAACAATGACAACATTATTAGGATTTCTTTTACTGTGATTTAGTAGCAACTGAGTTTCCCGATTTTAACCCCTTGGCAACAAGAACCAAGTTCCCCATTGCATTAGCACCTAAGTGTCAAGGGGTTAAGTAACCAGCACAAAGATACTGCACTTTTGATTGTAGCATTTGGCAGAACTGAAAGGAAAGGAAGTTGTGCTACATGTTCAAGGGACTGTGGGCAACAGAAGAAGACAATGGGGAGAAGATGAAATGTCACATGAAGTCTTCAAAGTCTTGCACATATCCTCCATCATAGCCACCATAGTCTGCAAGATCATCTTTCATTGTAGCCTTTAATCCCCCTCCAGGAACCACACCTTTCTTCTTCTTTTTGGCTTTGCTTTGCTGAAGACGAGAGAGATTTCATTTAACTCAGTTATTTGTTTTATAAGAATCCTTCCTAGGCAGTTTCTACCCACCTATGCCTCAGGTGTCAGAGGAATCTTACTTTGAGCCACTACCCACATAATTACCTATCTAACAAAATGCACTTAGGTACCTCAAACCCTGTAACTACTCCAGCTCACAGAAGAATGCCAGCTGCCAAACTTCAAATTAGGACGGTCTCTATTAACTAAGACCCTGAAATGTGCACAATTTATACTGGAATGGAAGCAGTTAGTGAGATGGCAGGTCTAAGTACTCCACATTATGTGTTGATGCTTGGAGCTACAGTTCTGTTAAAAGTAGGACACTATCAGGGTATTTGAACATACTGACAAGGAAATTCTGGCCAGGTGCAGTGTTAAGTCACACCTGTAAACTATTTTCTGCCAACCTCTATGTAGGTGAGATTTAATACCACCATAATAAACTGAGAGAGTTAACATCTTTTCAGTTTAGGATTTCTTTTTTGGAAAGTGGATCAGATACTTATCTTTGACTCAGTTTTTAAAAAAATCTTTAAGCATTTAAGAACTCAGAAATGCTGCAGTTCATGCAAGAAAACACAGCTATCTTTTTACTTACCTTTTCTTGTTTCTGTTTTTCACTGCATAGCACTGTCAATGAATTGGTGATCTTTTTCAAGTCATCAATTTCCACTTAAAAAAAAGAAACTTTAGTTTGCAAAGCATTTTGGGGGAAGTGATAAAAAGACTGAACAAGAAACATTAAGATACATGGAATGAGACATGTTTTTGGGTATGGCCAATTTCAGAATTTGCTTTCCTTGACTATGAACATTAAAAAAGGATTTTCTTTTACTACTGTTCAAGGGAGAAAAAAAATGCTGAATTATGAAGATCAAACAGGACACATTGGCTAATATGACCCAGAAACCAGCGTCTCAGTCTGATGTATCTAAAAGTTTGCTTCTAAAACACTGACCCTTATTATCACCCTCCTTTCTTCTCAGAAGTCAACATAAGAGGTACAATTATATTAAAAAACAACACACACAATGTTTTATTAGCTACTATGACACCAAGATTTCTTTTCAGGAAGCCACTGTAAAACATAATTAACAAGCTGACCTCAGCAACATGCCACAAACGCAGCCACCTGTTGCTCCTGACTGTGTTTGTACAGGATTCCTAAAACCCTAATCAAGTCAGTTTTACGTCATCAAAATCATTTCTATATTCTCATGCCACTGTTTGATTAAAATCATTTTAAAGAGCCAAAGATGTTACTTACATGAAATACACACATCTCGAACTAATGCTTCCAAGAAACTGGCATAATATAGAGATTTTTCATATTGTGTAATTTTATCTTTTAGTAACTTGCCAAACTCTGTGAAGTCATCTCTTGAAGAGGGGTTCATGGCATCTATACCACAGATTGTGTTATTAACACCTGTAAGAGAAAGTAAGTGAAAATGCTAGTTGAGGAGCAAACTTACCAGTTGCACAAACCTCAAATTAGAGGGAAAGGTTTATTCACATTGACTGTGAGTACATATAGCCCAAGGTAAAAAGGGAAATTAAAAAAACAAAACAAAACAGTAAAACAGAATAGTTTTCCAAAAAAAAGTAAAGGTCTTTGTTCTCTGAAAACAGAACTCTACAGGTTAAAAATGGAAGATTGGGTGTGTGTGTGGATAGATGAGTGGATGTGTGTGAGAAAGAGAATGCCATGGTTTTTAATTTAAAATTAAGAATGTATGAAATAACACATTATAATTTGTAATTATGATTGTAAGCTTTCACAAAAAACAGTGAAATTTTAAGTGGAATACCATAACAGTAAATGGTAAAACCACTTCTGACTGCTATACTAAGGGTTTCTTTCCACTATACCTACTTTGCCTCCCTAAAACATTGTACTTCATGTGGGATTTTTTTATCTTTTACCTGTACATTGCCCCCCAAAATCCTATGAGCAATTACTTTAAACCATGAAAATGCAGTATTCCTTAAGATTCTATGTAAAAAATGTTGTTTCCCTGTAATTAGATGGTGATTTAAAGCTACCAATCTATACTATGGTTACAGCAGAGGTGTCAAATAGGGTCTTACACTCCTAAAGTGTCCTGAACCAGATAAAAATGTAACAGGGAAATCTCTTAACAAAATAAAAATGAAATTAAACATAGATAATGTTAATGTGTAGTTTTCTAAGTTCAACATTCAGCCCACAAGTATCTTTATGTATGGTTTAGTGGCCATTTCTATTTGAGTTTGACACCACTAGTTTACAAGAATATCCATACTAATTTAGTAGAATTATTAGAATTCACAATTACCTAAAGCATTTTCCATGGAAAAGAGTAGTGACTGACTCATCAGCCCCCTCTGCATCATTCATGGTGTTGTGGGATTCCAGAGTTGGAAGGGAACACTTCCAGATCATTTATTCCATCCCCCTCATTTTACAAATGAAAAAAACTGAGGCCATGAGAGAGAGGTAAAGTGACTTGAATACCACGGTCATAGAACTTATCGAAACCTGCATCTGACCTCAACTTTTCAGACTCAAAATCCAGTGCTATCCTTGAGCTGACAAATCTGAATAACAGACAGAACAGTAGGGGGAAATAATAAAGGTAACAAGAATGCTAACAATGTACCTAAACAATACTTCATCCCACACTCAAGGTGTGGAATTTCAAATTAACTCAGCTAGTCCATTCAGCAACCAGTTATTAATAACTATCATCTAGAGAGACAAAGATGAACAAGAATTCTGTTTTCAAGACTCTTACCATTTAGTTAAGATATAAATACAAATTACTATAAAACAAATTGAATGTGATAAGAAGAGGTTCAGAGAGGAACACTCAGTTTCTCCTGGTGTTATCAAGAAAGGTTTCGTGAAGTGGCCATTCAAGTAAAGTATTAAAGTTTCGATAAGCAGAGAGTAGGAAGCGATGTGTTCTAGGCATAAAAGATCAGGATATTAGGTTAGAAATCTAGTTTGGATGAACATGTTTGAAGAATGATATGAAGTAAGAATATAAGTAAATTCAGAATCAAATAACACAAAATAAGAATGGAAAAGTTAATTCAGAATCAAATTGTAAAAAACAGTGACATTATAAAAGAAATAAGTTACATTTTACATCATCTGAGATGAAATGAGATGAAAGTTTGAACTAAGATTGGTGGCAAAATAAATGGAAAGTAATATACCAATGAGAGACACAGTAGTAGAATTTGGAGACTGATTAGATATGGAAGGTGAAAGAGGAAGGACTAAAGAATGGTTCCTTTATTTTGGGCCATAGTGACTAGTAGAATCAGCAGAAACTAGAAAGTTTAGAGGAAGGGCAGCTTTCAAGAGGTAATTGACTTCAGTTCTGGAATGTTAAGTTTGAAGAGATGATATATTCTCACAGAACCAATTGAGACTGCTTAAATCAAGCATGGAAGTGGCAAAAATTTGCTGACTTTTGTGAGAAATGAAGGCAATGGCTCATTCTGTAGCTGCTAGTCTTGTTCTACCTGTACCTCCCTTACAGTTTCTGGTATAGCAAAGGAACATGGGGAGCAATCCTTCTACAGGCTCCTGGATTATGGCTATAGTCACATCTGTGCCATGGAGATTTGAACATTTCTTCCCCTACCAAAAGCATAGTTGCAAAAGGAAGAAGCAAACCTGGTAGCAGGGAGGGACAGAGAGAGAAATCCTCTGAACTAATCGACATTCATGCACCTTCTTTTGTAGCAAAGACAGCAGAATAGATAGGCTTGTTGTCGGGGTAAGACTTTAAAGCAGCATACCTTCCATTTCATACACCTACAGCTTTTAAACAATTGCACACAAATGTGATCAAAGCACACAAAGTTATTGCGTTTCAATCCAGTGATCCTTTTTACTTAATGTTCTTTCATTTGGTACCCAAAATAGTTAATTTGAAACTACATTATTCATCTAAAGTACTAAATCCAAGAGATCTCACAATAGGCCAAAACTTTGGCTAATATTTAAATAAACTAGACTCAGATCTCCAGAGAAAGGAATGCTTCCCAATATCACTGTGTAAATGATCAGACAGATTTGGTCCGATAACAGACAAGTGTGTGCCATCAGCTTACCAAAGGTTTCTTTTGCTAATTCAAGGTCTGCCTCTTCCTGTAATTTCTTTAGCCGTAGTTTATCTGCTAGTTGTTCTTCTGGTGTAAGCTCTTTAGATTCTTCAGGCTCTTCCAACTATAATGCAGACAGGTATGAAAATTTTGTTTAAGACAAAAGAGTTCATGTCTTTCCTGGATATCCATGCATCTGTGGTTTACAACACTTCAATTCAGAAAAATGCCCTAGAAGTACAACTGCAACATTTTGTTACTACTGGAGAAACCAAGCCAAGGGCAACTAAATTAGAAAACCTGAATATTTAATAATTCAATGATGTCTATAGTTTTGGCACCAAGTGGGTCTTCATATTGTCTAGCTGAATGGAATGTAAAAGGTATCCATGTAGACAGAGAGCTATAATAGATATGCTATATATATGTAGTATCCAGAAAGGAAGAGGGACAATCATGACTCCACAACACCCTTTAGGGATTCTAAGCCACTTTTTATAATCACCCATCACCAACAATGAGAAGTATCTATCTCATTCTAATTTAAGAGACTTAGTACAATCAGATTAAAGTTCCTTCAGCATGTACTGTGATTGAGACAACAAATAAAATGCCAAACGGTCACAAATTTATTCTGATCTCAATGATCAGAGAAAAAAGGGCCAAGGCAGCAGGAATGCTTTACATTATACCTTTAATTACATGATTCGACTCCCTGGGATGTTATTATTTTATTCATAATTACATTTACAGAGATAAATTGTCCAAAAGCATTTCTGAAATATTTCTAACACCATCTCCAATGACCAAAGAATAAAGATACATTAATGTATACATATATATCACAGAAAAAATGGACTCAGCAAGCACAATACAGATAATGAACAATAAATGCTAGAACTGCAGACAACGGCAGAGACCATTGAATAGTCAGTCATGACTGTTCCAGAAGGTCTGTGAAATTGTTGAATTCTGTGTTTTTCCAGAACTGAAAACTAAGTTCAAGCAAATCTGCTTCTTAAAGGATCAACTTGAAATGAAGGGCTGTGTTTTCCACAACCCACTAGACAATATCTGAACTGGTGATATGAAAGTTTTTGCTCTAGAATATCAGTACTTACCCTTTTCTTAATTTCTTCTTGTCTTTTCTTCTGTTGCCGTTCTTTCTCTTTGATTTTCTCTGCTATTTTCTTCTTTTCTGAAACTTTTGTTTCTAAAAACAATACAGAACTTTTACAGTCAGACAATTCTTTTGCTTTATAAATGCATACCACAGCATCATAATCCTATAGCTTTTCATCTTATGAAATAAGGGTAAAAACCCACAATGGACACTATATAAGATCAAGAGCCTAAAATCTTCTCCAAGTCTGTAAGGATGACTTTGTACTAAATGGGAACATGGAAAAAACTTATTTTCCTGAAAGGGTCAAACATGAAGCATTTGGAGAAAATGAGATTATAAGCAAGAAAGTATATTGAGGAGGTGGGGGGCACCCCAAGAGGTGGGTGGTTTCTAAATTTTAAGATTTACAATTGGGTACTTTTACTATAAGCCAGTAAACACTCTGGAAGGTCACCAAGACACCTCACCAAGAATGGAAGGGAGCCCCAATGGCTCACCTGGTTTTACCTCTGTCTCCTCTTTTTTTTCTTCATCATCATCATCCCAGTTTTCCTAAAGAGAAAAACCTGCATTAGCTGAATTATTAAGCTAAGACAATCAAGCCAAAGTTAACAGCCGGTCTCTTGAACTGATTCACAATATGTCTTAAATCTTAAGAATTTGGACAACCTGCCTATCCCTAAATATTCTGAAGATCAATTATGAACCTTCCCATTTAAAGAAAATATTTGACATTTACATAACAGAACAGGCGAAATTCCATTATACAAACCACACACACGCACACCCCTAAAGAAAAGTTATTTTCAAATCCTAGACAATTACCATTTACTCAAAGTATTTTATAGGCCCAAAATGTTTGTAGTCCACCTTAGCTAAGCTCAGAGGTGAGACATTTTATATAATAGTTTGATGCAAAGTGCTTTGCAAGCCACTGTGTAATTATTTAACCTATTTAAAAATGAATACTTAACTTGAGCATATGGTAATACTAAGGTCACAATTACAATGCCAAAAGCTATTCATTATTAAAAATCACTCCTAAACCTGGATAGGATATTGGAAGGTGTCCTTGAATTTGTCACTTCCAGTCCTAGCATAGTCACTAAGCAATCCTAGAACTAAAAATAGCATTGTTATCTGGCACAATTAAAAGGAGAGCAAAGCTGTAACTACTAGTGAGAGACTAGTATATATTACCTGCTTGTTTCCCATCACTCAGCTGGACTTCTCTGACTCCTCCAACTTGCCCCCAGCAATCTCATCATTGAGAAATATCATCATCCAAGAATCTAATCAGCCTTAGCACTCACACCTCATCAGCAGCCTCTGATTGAAGAGTGGGAGCCATGTACTCCTAAACCTCCACTTAGAGGGGGCCCAACATAGACAGGGCAGCTAGGCAGCACAGAGGATAGCACACCTAGAGCACCAGGCCTGGAAGTTGTTGTTCAGTCATTTCTCAGTTGTGTCTGGCCCCATGTCATCTCATTTGGTGTTTTCTTGGCAGAGATACTGGAGTGGTTTGCCATTTCCTTCTCCAGCTTATTTTGCAGAAGAGGAACTGAAGCAAACCAGGGAAACTGACTTGCCCAGGGTCACACAGCTAGTAAGCTAGTAAGAGGCCAGATCTGAACTCTGGAAGACACTGCAGGACATGACTAAAACAACCGAACAACAACATAAACATCTCTTTATCATCTCCCACCTGGCTACTCTCCTTTTGAACTTCTTTGACCATATGCCCAGAAATCTTATCATTGGGAAACAGCATTATCCTGGAAGAATGAAATCAGCCTTGGTATTCACACATCATCAGTACTCTCTGCCCCTGAGCCAAGAACTTCAAAACCCCATTTCTCATCCCATGTCTCAGCTGGCTATACTCCCTTTGGACTTCTTTGATTTCTCTATCCTGCCCTCCCTCACTTTTCTGCTTTCTTTTATCTTCCCCAATTAGATTGTATGTTCCTTGAAGACAGAGATTTTCTTTTTTGCATTTGTATCTCCAGCTGCTTTAATAAATATTTATTCACTAACTATGAAGTAGGGAGGCAAGTCTGTAAATGGCCAACCTTCAAGTTGGGCAAACAGTGATAAATCTAATAAAGTTAAAGTGAAAGACAAGGAATGAAAGGTGTAATTAGTTAAGTGCTGGTAAAGGCTTGAACAAGTAATATGCTGCAACACTGACATTAAGCTTCTCCTTTTATAAGACAACTAAAAATCTAAATGCATTCTAGGAAAACAAGCCAAACAAGAGTGACTGCTTTTTCAATTCTCACTAAAACCTATAGTTAGATGATCAAATAGTCTGATTATAAGGGGATGCTACTCAGTTGTGGTATGCTCAGTTTAGAACTCTACTTTTACACCTTGTGACAAAAACAAAAAAAGTAGTCATAGTTTTAACAGATTCCAGGCAAACTAGCCGGTCATTATTCGAACTATTCACAACACTCAACCTTTACATTACCCACCTCTCTGATATACCCAGGTTCTCAAGGGCCTAAATCAAAACAACCTAGCTAAGCAGGATTTCAGCAATGTAAGTATGAAAAAGGTGCATTTACCTTAAAGGGTTGTTAATATATAACTTTCTATACATTACAGGCCTATGATTTCCATTTTGAGGCTTAACTGGGGTTCCCTGGCTTCACTATGAGCTCTCCAGCATCTTGACAAAGGTTGAGGGAAAAGTAAAAGGCTCTGTTCCAACTCCTCTGGCCCTTGCAGTGTTTTTAAGTCTTACAGTCAGGCAGGAAGGGGCTTGCCTGAAAGTTCATAACACAGAGCTCATGAATAAGAAATCCTCTATCACAGCTGTGCCGAGCTCACAGCCACTCTCTGCTCCCTTTATTTAAGGTTAATTCAGCAGTCTCTATTTTCCACTAATTTTTAAGATTAGTTCAATTTCCCTTGGTATCTTGCAACAATTTGCAAGTACTCACTGAACAGCACAGACAGTATAGATAGTATCCTCCTCTCCTTCGGGTACCTTGTAAATCAGTCCTTCAATGTCCTTACATTGTTACTGCCTCTCTTTATTTTTTGGTCGAATCAGGTTACTTTCCCCATCTTTGTTCTCCATTTCTATTTCCTCTATAAGAACTTGAAATACAATAATATTAGGGCCCTAAAGAGGTGCTTACACTATCTTTTATGAAGAAAAGTTTAGAGAAATGGTTTTTGCAAATCTTTTCCATTTTCTTCTGTTTGTAGTCATCCTTCCTTGTTTATCTTTGAAAGTTCATGTGTTTTCTTTGCTTAGTTGGATATCCTGCCATACGTTATTAAGCTGGTTTTATTCTCCATGTTTGTTTTGAAAAATGATAATGCTATAACTGATCATCCTTCATAAGATTTTGCAGATGAGTTTATATTCTAATCCAATTTGCTTTTGACAACCATCACTTTCTGACTGGCAAATGTAAGATGTTTGCTGACTAAAGCACCTTCTTGACTTCTGGTCTCCTTGTAGTAATTAATTTAATAATGGTTTAACTTCTAGATGAAATTATTATAGGTCAGCATCATTGGTATTTCTGTTGTCCATTTTTTATTTCCAACAATTCGTTGGTCTTTTCTTTTGTTGCTGTTTTTATAAATGCTGTTCTTAGGTCTGACAAGTCAATGGTTTTGCTGTACACACAACATCAAAAATAAGTCTTTTCCTGTCTGTTAAAAAGTATGCTGTCTCCATCCATATCATTATCATTCAAGACTACTTTGGAAGACCGTTTATTAACAGAAATAACCCTGTTTAATGACCCTCTGATACTAAACATTACACAAGGCATAAAACAGAACTGTATGCTCACTAAACCTGTTTGCCACTGGGATGGAGGAGATCCACTGGAGGAAGAATTCCCTGTTGATAAGGTGCTCCAGATATTTCTATTTGAGGATGAGATCATAAAGATCATGTCAAGCCCTAGAATACTGCAATCTTCTGAAAGAGATTAACAAAAGCATTTGGCCTGTCCAACCACACAAGACCAAATGGACAACGTATATCTATTGTCCAGATTTCAACATGCATCTGAAGAGACACTTTAAAGAACTTGGGCTGGAATGCTTTCAGGAAATTACAAAGTTCTTTTACTGACCTCAAGCAAAGGCCCATACTAACATTTTTACCAGTGGCACTGCTATATAAGGGATATATGGAATACCACTGCCTCTGAAGATCTGAAGAATGTCATCCAGAAGATATTGAAGAGGCCCATGGTGGGCGTAAGCAGGCCAGAAATATAACTAATGAAGAATTCCAAAGAAAAGTAGTAAAGGACATCATCAAGCAAAATGTATGAAAAGAGGAGAAAATGAGGGTGGTCATGTGACAAGAGCAAAGGATAACAGGTGGACAGTCAGTGGTTCGACCTGTGTGATACTGGAAGTGAAGAAGTCTTCCATCACACTGAGTGGATCCTTTATGGCAAACTTTTGGTAGAAAAAAGACAACAGTCACTAGGGATGGGCATGCATGGATGGGTTGCAATCTGTACTGCTGGAGCAAACTCCCAAATGGATGAGATCACAGACCTATTTGTGTATGAGTTTTATGTTAGTGTAAGTAACTACAAGGCCAGTTTGGCTGTACTGTGCTCAGAGTATATACTCTGTGAGCGCAAGAAGGGGAGTAATGTATACGGATTCTAGAAAGGCAGATTGACGTCAGGTTGTCTACTGCTTTAAATGCTAGGAATTTATATTCTATCACAGAGGTAAGAGGGAGCTGATGGAGTTTCCAGGGTAGGAGGAAGAATAAATGTGTGACAAGTCAGACCTGCACTTTGGCAGGTATGTAGAGAATTGGTGTGGATAGAGACTCGTGAGTTAGGGAGACGAATTAGGAAGCCATTGAAATGGTACAGTTGTGATCGAATAGCGCTGGTTAATTGGAAAAAAGAGGGCAGATGTCAGATGTTGTGCAGCAAGAAACAACAAAATGTGGAAGATAATACCGAGGGTTGCAAACTTCAGTAACTAGAAGGATAGCAGTGTCTTAGAAATAAGAGAGTTCAAACAGGGGAGGGTTTTGGAGAAAGATAACAATGAGATCTTTGATAACAGATTGAAACCCATCCATGAGTGCTCATCCTGTGAAATTCACTGTTCCACTCAAAAATTTTTAAAAGGTGGGGAGGGGAGAGATATGTGGGGAGAAAGAAGCTAGATTCTTTACTTACCAGTCCCACTGCCAGAAAGCATAAAGCTCAGAGGATGCATATAGTAGCTTCAACATGAGAAAAGAGAACAGATAAAGGGGGTGGGGAAGAAAGGTCATTTTTCTAATCACAACCTGGACAACTATGACTGTGGTTAAACCACAGCTCCTTTCTCAGCAGCTCATTCATCTCATCCCTTGGGCCTTATCTCCATTTACTATTCTATATTTCTATATCAAGTGAGACTTTATCAACTCTTTACCAGCTTACGCTATTCCACAGTACATAATCATTAAAGAAGACCTGCTTCTATATTTTCTGTTCTAATAACGATTCCATTTAAATACTTAGATTGGTGGTATGTCCAAAATTCGATACTTA